GCTGGGATGGGGGGACCCGGGGGGCGGGTGAGGCCCGGACGGAGGGAGGGCTGGGAAGCGGGGCGAGAGCCCGGATCTCCGCCCCCTCCCCTGCAGAACTGCAGCGCCTCCCGACGGACCCGGAGCCCGGATTTTGTTCAGATGTGTGTGTGTGTGATATGTGCACGGAAAGGAAGCAGAAAGGATATGCTGTTAATTCAAAAGCTAGGTCGTTGCACGGTCTACTTGATCCCGGTTTTTGTAAAACGGAAAATAATAAATCCATCCCTCTTGAATGTTTGCATTTGCGTGAATGCAGAACAAAAGATCTGGGAGGATGTACCCCATCCACTCTGGTCGCCTGGGAGGATCTGAGGTCTGTCAGAGGTCGGCAGAGCTAAGGATTCAGGCTTATTCTGGATACACTGGCAGTTGGAAAACAAACGCTTTCAAAAAAGGCGAAGACACTTGCCCGCTCTGGCACCCCCCCCCCAGCTGACAGCCATGGCCTCTGCGAAAAGGCCTAGAGTGGTTTGTCTCATTTAATCCCAATTCTGGGGCAGGTGTTCCAAGGGACAGATGAGAAAACAGAGACAAGAAGTAACTTGCCCAGGGCCACACAGCTAGACTTGGGAGGAAAGTTCAGCCCGCCCCGCCTTACTAACACGGGTTAGGGGGGGCGCTGAGCACAGGGCCTGGCACACAGGAGGCGCTCCACAAATATTAGTTGGTTTGTCGAATGGAGCAACATCTGTCCCGCCCTTGACTTTACTGGCTGTGAAGTAAGGAACTCTGGGATGCCCTAAGAATCAGGAGGTTACTCCTCTCTCATTATTTGACAACAGGGGACATAATAAGGAAAGCTCCGAGGGCCTTGAGTGTTCCAGAAGACAGACGAGGAGGTAGCCCCAAGGAGAAAAGGCAAGTCAACGAATGCTCCTCTGGCAGATCTGGAAGGGGAGTGACGCCCTCTGGGGACAGCCAGCTTGCTAGGTCCCTGGGAGTGAAATGGCAGCAGATGCCCTAAGGTTTTCATCCGGGACTCAGGAAATCCTTTGCTTTTCTCTGGGTGATAACAGTGGTAGGTGCTGTGTACTGAGCACCTTTTCTGGGCCAGGCGTGCTGCTAAGCACTTTACAAGAGGGGGGAGATGCTATTGTTGTTCCCACTGTATGGATAAGGACATTGAGGTCAGAGGTTAAGTGACCTTAGGCAAGGTCACAAAGGACCTGGGTTGTGGAGCAAGGATTTGAACCCAGCAGGGCCAGCCTTTGAGGTTTAAGCCTTTCCTAGGGAAGGCAAAGCTGAGATGCCAGGATGGGTGGGGGGCTGCCCGCCAGTGCTGGCATCAGGGTTTCCCCAGGACTCTGCAGATGCCCCTCCAAGGCTTATCAGAGCTCAGGACCCAGAGAGGACAGAGGAAGAAAGAAGGAAGGAGACAGCAGAGCCTGGACCGTGAGGTCATTTAACCCCAAGAGACTCTCCCTGAGGAAGGGGGGGACATTCAACGAGACATTTTATATCGTCAAAGTTATACTAAGGGAACCGTGGCTGTCCAGAGTCGGAATATTGAAGGAGCATAAGGAATAAGTGGACCAAGCAGTGCCAAGCTGGGGGAAGTCAGCCTGAACCAATGAGCAAGGGTGTATCGTTTGTCAGTTTTTTTTCCTCTTAGATATGAGGAAACTTGCAACTCTGCTCATGGGTGGAGAAATTTTTTCGGACTCCCAGACTGATAGCCAGAGGGGGAATGCCACCCATCCCTCATGGCCTCATGCTGATCTTCCATAAACATAGATTTATTTTTTCCAAGATGTGAGCAGTGTCTCTTGTTACATTGAAATTTAACATTTGGGTATAATGCTTATAAATGTATTTCTTTAACTATGATTTTCTTTTCTTCAAACCACGTTATGGCTGCATGTGGATCTGCTTTGCATTAATTTCACGAGGACTATCGAAAGCCCGGTCCTCGGTCGTGTTCAGGTCCTTCGTTTTGCACTCACGTGGAAAGTTGCCTCCTTACGCTCTCTCTTCATTCTTTTACTCAGGTTTTTTCTTCTCTGGCCCCCGCACATGCTGATGTTCCCTGTCACAGACCGGTCTCGCTGGTTGTCGTCACTTCCGTGCATGTCTGTGTGCCCTACGAGACTAGGAGCTCATCCAAACGGGGTCACTGAATAGTTTATTTTTTAATTCCCCAGCACCTAGCACGCAGTCTGTGACACATGATAGGTGCTTCATGAGAGGTGACGGGATGACAGAAGGAAAAAGAAGGAGAGAGAATCTTGAGACTCTGAGAGGGAATCTGACCTCTGCCAGTGCCATGTCTGGTCCTTGCCTCAGAGCGAAGGCAGGAAAGCTGCTGGAGACCTCGCCGGGCTGCTTTCCCCTCTCCGGTGGTAATAGTGACCATTTACTGAGCACTTGCAGGTGAGGAAATTAAGACACAGACAGGTTTAGAGACCTGCCCAGGGTCACCCAGGGAGCTGGTGACAGCTGAAAAAGAAAGAAAGGCTGGAAGAGAAAATACACACTCGTGGAGGGCGCCCACGTGCTGCACATCGCAGCCTCTTCACCGTGTTTTTGTGAGTTAGGGTCTGCGATCGCCCCATTTTACAGATCAGTAAACTGAGGCTCCACAACTGTCACCCGCCACCACTGGCTGCCAGATGCTGAGTCATACTACTGTGTTTAGAAGAGCCTTTCTGGTCATCTGGTGATCGGCCCCAGAAAGCTCGGGCGGATCAATGTCCCACTGTAGGGAAGGGACATGGAAGATCACTTGACACTGTGAACACGAACAGTAGCCAGTCTTTAAAGCGCTGGCCCAGGGGGTGGCCCTGGGGACCTCTCACAGGGGCCCTGTCTCACTTCAAGGCCACACTGAGCCTGAGTGTTGTCTACAGCATGGCTGTGCCCGCGAGGCCCAGCCAGCTCACCTAGATTCCCCGGGGAGACCTGTCCATGCTAAACCCAGGAGCAGGCACTGGTGGGGGGGTGACCTTTCCCCAGGCTCACCCCCAGCGTGGAGCCGTGTTCAAGAGTGCTGGATCTGGAGCCAGACAGACCCGAGTTGAATCTGTCACTGTTCTCATTTGCTATGTGTCATTAGACAAGTGACTGTAATTCTCTGAGCCTCTGAAAACCAGGGAAGAGGTTTGTGGTGAGTACTGAATGAGCTGAGGTACACTGGCTGTCAGCACAAGCTGGTGGCCAACAGGCATTCAGCACATGTTGCTTATTAGTATTATTGCTTCTTACTCGCAGACACGTGGAGCCTCCCGTGTCATCAATGGCTACATAACAAACAGCCCCCAAAACTAGTGGCTTCAAACCACAATCTGTAATTTCTCATGATTCAGTGGGTTTGGGGGATGGTTCTTCTGTTCCACCTGGTGTTGACTGGGGTCGATCGTGCCACCGCACTGTCTCTGCATCCACAAGGTGTCACATCCTCCAGGATTCTCCGTGTGGCCTCTCTCTCTGGCTAAGTAGTCTGGGCTTCCTGATAGCATGGCAGCTGGGCTCCAACAGAGAGAAAGTGGAAGCGGACAGGCCCCATAAGGGTGCCACTTCTACTGCATTCTATTGGGCACGGCGAGTCACAGGTCCAGCTCAGAATCAAGGGGAGGGCAGTAACCCCCACGCCCCATGGAAGGAGCAGGATGTTTGTGCAGGGAGGGGAAGATTGGCTGGCGAATTATTTGTAGACAATCTCCCCTGCCCTCAGGACCCTTCGCTTTCCCCCACCC